CAGCAGGAGCAGGACGAAGGCGGCGGAGCCGACGGCCACGCACATCACCTGGAAGTCGGTGATGATGGACTCGCAGCGCGTCCCCTTGTGCCAAATGTAGTCCTGCGTGTTACACCTGGGGCAGCGACAGAGGGAGACTGAGGTGACAGGCAGGCAGTCCCGGCCACAGCAAGGGCCTGGTCCCTAAGCCGCCTACTCACCTCAGCAGCCTGCTCCTGTGAGCGTCTAGAGGAACCGGGAGGCGCCCAGTCTGTGCGGACCCCACCGCGGAGATTCTGCGGACCCGCCCTACGCAGCGGGCAGGACGGCGCTGGGGTCCGGGAGGTAAAATGAGACAACCAGGGCGCCAAGAGATGGCGTGAACTGGTCACTCACGGGACTGTTCAGGGCCCGCGGAGGGCGGGAACCCCGGTTTTCTACCTCGCGGCCTCAAGGAGGACAATCACAGGATTCTCTCCGCTCCCCCTGCCCTTGGCTCTGGGTGAAAAACAAGATCATAGGGCCTTGGGCCACAAAAGGAGTCAGCCCACTCTACCCGGGAAAACCTATTCTGCTGCTCTGCAGTCCCGTCTAGTCCACAGGGCTACCCGGACACCGAAACAGAAGGAAGTGACAGACAAGGAGAGCACAAAGATGGATGTATATTCTCCTCCTATCTCTGCAGCCCCCCGAATTCTGCCCCTAAAGCTTCTTGTCCTATTACCATAACGGTCATGAAAGCACAGTGAGAATCAACCCTCTGGGTGGGTTTTTAGTCCTTTTGTTGAGTGACTTTCTCTTGCCCTTGGGGACATTCCCAGGCTCCAACCCTTCATGACATTGCTGTTTCCATGGGAACCAGGCTGCTTCAAAGAGGAAAGATGTGGAAGGATACAGAGGCAGGCAAAGGAGGGAGGACATGAACCTCAGGGTGAGTGACAGACAAGAGAAAGGAGTCCAGAAAAGGGGAAATCATGCCTCGGAGAACTGGCTACTCCACACCCGGAACAGCGTGGGGAGCCATGACTAACAGGAAAGTCTTTCTTTTCCAAGGGACCCTCTGCAGTCCTGGGAGGCTATCTGTTTGAGGACGGTGGGGAAGGAAGATCCCACTAGCCCACGGTTCTAGACAAGTTCTGCCATAGCTCTGCTCATTTCCCTGCAGTGGGTCAGGGTGACAGAGACAAAGGCGTGCTGCAGTCTGCAACTGAGGGCTCAGCAGTCTCCTGTGAGCGGAATGCAGAACAGTTTCTGAGCCACAGCCGAGCCTGGGCGTGCACAGCTGGGGGAGGGATCTCTGGAAGGGAGGCCCGAGGGTGACCCTGGAAAGGAAGGTGAGCAAGGGGAACCGGTGGGGGGACTTGCGGAAAAGCCCTCTGAGGCGGGACCCACTGGACGATCCCCGGTCAGCACAGCCATGCAGCTTACTGAGGACAAGGCTGCTTTTCCACTCAGGAGTCCTGAGAGCTCCAGGAGCTTCTGGGAACATTTCTAGCTCTCCAGAGGCAGCAAGGGCTCTCCATTTCAGGTGGTGATGGCAAGACTGCTTGGAAGGTGAAGGGTCAGGCCTCCAATAGAATGAAAGATAATGATTTCGCACAGACATTTCAGAACTCCCAGGCTAAATCCCACTAACCATCCCTATAGTCCCACTCACCAAAGCTTGAGGAGCAAAATCACAGGGTTTCCACATGTTTCTGGTAGCCCTTAACCAACTGGCAAGGTCTTGTTGCCATAATGTCTTGGTGACAATTTCTCCTTTTAGCAGTGACTGGACAACTCCAATCAGAACTGTGTGGACGCATCCTATATGACTGACCCTAATCATTTCATGATCATTCATAGGAAAGAAGGAACTGGAAGTCAAACTTTAATGCCAAAAGCACAATGTTCACACTTTCTTATATTATTCTTCTATCGGAACATCAAGACCTACAGAATTTGAATTCTTCACATACCTCCAAAAAGACCAAGAAAAACAAACATCAGGAACGACACTTACAGAGACACCCATATTACAGAAATGTTCCTCCTAGGACCAACGGAAACCAGTCCCAGAGGAATCTGGGGGTTCTACCCCACTTCTAGGGCCTGTAAATGATGGAGACAAGCAAACTACCCAGATCATCCCTGACTTGGGATTCTTCCAGAATAAGCCAGTGAGCTCTCCAGCAGGTTAACTACCTTGCCATGAGGGCAGGTATATGATGTATTCCTGATGAGGCATGGGATGGTGGCTGCAGACAACGTCCTTAGAGACACTAAACTCTCTGGGTCTTTAAAACATTCTGCGCTGGGTAATCCCAAGGAGGACAAAAATCAAGGTAGAAGGGGAAAAGCCACTATCCAGGGGCGCCTGGGTGGCTCAGTCATTAAGCATCTGCCTTCGGCTCAGGTCATGTTCCCAGGGTCCTGGGATCGAGTCCTACATCGGGCTCCCTGCTCAGCGGGGAGTCTGCTTCTCCCTCTCCCACTCCCCCTGCTTGTGTTCCCTCTCTCGCTGTGTCCCTCTCTGTCAAGTAAATAAAATCTTAAAAAAAAAAAAAAAAGCCACTAGCCAAAGTTAAGGAACCCCACCACCTCTACTATGCCAGGAAAGATACTCTGCTTGACTTGACCTACTTGAGTGGCTGCTCTCAGGGTCTGCTCCCAACGAGAAGGTCCTCACTGTGACTCTACCTGCCCTGCAGGTAGATGGGGTCTTCCTCCTGCCACATATCTGTCTCAGAGGTCTTCTTTCCTCCAGAGTAGGTTTATAAGCCTATTCTTTGTGCTAGTGTAGCCAGAACCCTCCAACAAGACCCCTCAAGCCAGTAAAGGCCGCTTTCCAAAACCCTTACAGAAGTCCCTTTCACTTTGCCTTTATAGTTTAGTGCTTCGGTAAAGGACACACACTTGGAGGAAATACAAAATCTTACTTCTGGGAAATCTGTCCTAGTGATGGGGTCACAGGAGGTACATTTAAGAAGTAATTGCCCTTGGAAGATAGTGCGTGGACATCTCTTGACCTCGGAACCCCAGGATCCTCTTGGCTTGGGAACGCACAACCCCTTGGAAGCTGTGCCCGTCATGTCCCCCTCTTTGCTGAGTCTGCCTCACACACACACTCTTCAGTTCTTTTACAAGCCCCTGTGCACCTGCCTGCTACACCCTTACCTGCAGAAGGCCCCTATGTTCTCCACCAGGTAGCACTGGCCGCCATTGTGGCAGTAACTTGGGAAGAGGTCGCACACAGACCGGCAGGAGCCGTTATGCCGCACAAAGCCGCTGCGGCACTCGGTGCCATTCTCACTTGGGGCCAGGTCCCTGCCTGGCTCTCCCGGGCGGGGCCTGAGGGCGATGCTGCTGCCAGGGACCATCCCCAGAGTATGCTGTGGGGGGACAACATGCCACCGACTGGTGGGCTGGCCAGTCCCGGGCCCCAGACCAGGCTTTTCAGTGGGCACCAGAAGGTCACTTTCATCTTCCAGGTCTCCACCTCCCACTGCATCCTTGTCATCCTCCTCTTCCTCCTCCTCTTCATCCAAGTCATCATAGAAGGATGTGGTGGGGTAGAAGTCAGATTCATCAAAGGGGGTGAAGTCATCGTATAAGTCAAGCAGGCTCCAGGAAGGGGTCTCTCCCCCAGTATCGGGGTGGTGCTCTGAGGTCCCTGGCGACCCCGGGAAGCTCCCCAGGTCGCCGCCACGGCCCTCACCATCCAATCCTTCGAAGTAGTCGATGTCAATTATATCTGATGCTGGCTGGGGTTCCAGTGTACCCTGAAAGGGGAACGTGGGCTCTGGCCCATGCGGGTCATGTGTGCTGCCTCCCAGGTTCAGCCAAACCTCCAAGGGGCTCTCCTTGGGGAGTTCGGGGCCTGGGCTCAGCTTGTCGCCAGGAGTGGGAGAGGGTGGTCCGCTGGCCTCTGTAGCCTCGGGGGTGGCAGGGGGCATCGATGACTGTCCCAGGGCCTCCTCGGGAGCCGGGAGCGTGGCTGGAAGGGCCTGGGTGTCGCCGCTGCCGGCCTCTGCGGTCACTCCACCCAGGCCCGGGCTGTCGGCCTCCAGCCAGGCGGTGCCAGTCACCGCCGCGGACGCCTCCAGTGCCTCCTCCGGCCCGACCCCAGGCCCCACCACGGCCGGCTGGCCGCCAGGTGCAGTCCACGAGGTCTCATCCTCTCCAGCAACTGGTGGGCCGGCCTTCTCCCGCGTGCCGTTGGCACGCGGCTTCCACGCCAGGACGCTCTTCACCAGCTCCTCGGCCTCGACGGCGCTGCCCGCCTCACGCGCTGTGGGCGGGAGGGAGGGGGCACGATGTCAGGGCCCCGCCCCCCGCCGCGGCTCGCTCTCCCAGCCTCCCCGCCCACCCGTAGACTCCGGGACAAGGTTTCCCAAGGCCACACCCCCGTCCCGTTCCCCGCCAAGGCGGGGAACACAACCGGCCCGGCGTTTCCCGCTCAGGCCCCGCCCCTCAGGCGTCATGCCCCGCCCCCGACAGGGCCCGCAGGGTAACGCGGCGGCCCCCACCTTCGGCCCTAGGCAGAGGTTTGACCCTCAGGACTCCACCCCACCTCCAGAACCCGCCCTGAAGTCGCACCCTCAAGGCCCCGCCCCACCCCAGGCTCCGCCCTGAAGTCGCAGCCTCATGGCCCCATCACCTCCAGGTCCCGCCCCGAAGTCTCACCCTTAGGCCCCGCCCACTCAGGCCCCTCCCCCAGCCGGCACCCCTGTTCGCACACCCGGGTCGGGGCCGCCCCCCACTTCTCCGCATCCCCCAAGTACCCCCCCTCTTCGCGCGCCCCTTCCCCCGCCCCGGTCGCGGGCAAGGCGCTGCCCCGCCCCCTTGCCACAGCTCGCGAACTCCGCCTGTACCCGAGGCCAGCGGGACCCTGGCCCAGGGTGAGGCGCGAGAGCCACTGGGGTCCCGGTCGCAGTCGGTACCTACCCGGCGCGGCCCCGGCGGCGAGGAGCAGCGTGGCCCCCAGAAGCAGCAGCAGCGGCGGCGGCCCCCGGCCCGGGCCCCCGCCCCCGGCTCGGCCCATGGCGCGGCGCCCCGACCGCTGTCCGCGGTCTGCCCGGCTGGCTGCGCCCTCGGCTCGCCGGCCGCCGCGCCTCCCGCCCGCGCTGCGGCCGTCTCAGCCCACGATGGGCAGCGCGAGAAGCCGCATGCCGCCGCCGCCGTCCGCCGCTGTCCCCGGCGCGCCGCGCCTCCCCGCCTCCCGCGCCGCCGCTGCCGCGCTCAGCGCCGCCCCCACCCCGCCCGCCGCGCCCGCCCCGCCGCACGTAGCTCTGACGCCTGCCCTGCTCGGTCCGCCTGCCGGGGACAGACCGACCCCCGGCTCGGGACGCCGAGACAAACGGACGTGGAGTAGCGCGGGTGGGTGCGGAGCACAGCGCCGCGCGTGGCGTTAGCCGACAGGTGCACGGGCGGGAGACCTGCGGGGCGGGGCCCGCCCTCCCCGTGGAGGGCTGGCACGGGCCCCCCCACCTGCGAGGAACCCACCCGCCACGCGGCGAGCACGGAGGCGGGGGCCCAGACACCCGCAAGTTTGGGGCGGGGCTCGGAAGGGCCGCGGGGGGCGGAAGCCCGAGCTCGCGCTGTGGAAATGAGCCGAGTCCAGGGCGCACGGAGCCTCTCGGATTTCTGCGCCAATGCCGTGTTCGAGGCGGGGAAGGGTCTCGGGGAGGTCTGTGGGTGCCCACGGGGGCGGGGCGGGCGCTGGCAGCGCCAGGCAAGGGGGCGAAGCCGAGAGCTCAGGCTCTAATCGGATCAGACCTAATCCGTCCACAGCCAAAGCCCAGGCCTCGCACAGCCGGGCCCTCCGCAGCGCATCCCAGGGCAGGGGGCAAGACTTTCCTGAGACTGGGGCTACCCCGCCTTCCTTCTCGCCTCCTCGGGGGCAGCCTGGGCAGCGGCCTTTAATCCTGGCCCCTTCTTCCCAGGATACATCACTCCCCCCACCATGTGTCCCAGGCCACCAAAGCTCAAGGTCCTGGGCAGACCCAAGCAGCCAAACTCGCAGCCTAGGGACGCGCGGGGCTCCAGGACTGGCGTTAGAGTAGTCTGCGGGCTGCCAAAGCTCAGTGTTCAGCCAGGGACCCCTCACCCCCAGAGCCCTGCTTGGTGGGGAGTTGTGGCCTAGTCACCTAGCCTACCGCCCAAAGCAACCATCCACCTCCTGATGTGTTATTGACCCAAATAACATTCGGGGTCACCACCTTTCGACGTGACACCCATGGTATTTGAGACACTCCCATTTCTGTCCCTAGCGAGCCACATGGGTAACCAAGTTGGAGAATCTATCCCTTCATGTCCTAGTGTGTATCTCTGGATGGGGTTCCCTTGGTTCAAAGTGTGTTCTTCTCACCATACTACCGCAGCAGCAACCTCTTAGGCAGGCTGGTGTTCCCTTCCTTCCAAGTCTGCCTGGCAAACGAGCCAGAAAGCTCAGTTCCTGTCACCTTTGCCTTCTGTGAAGCCTTCCCAGCCTGCTCCTGGAATCGTCGGTCTACAGTAATTCCCCACTGGACTGCAGGGCACGATGAGTGCACAGGACCAGGCACTGGGAGGCTCGCGAAAGCGGCGAGAAGCAAACACGCATGAATGGCAACCAGGTACTCCCACCCCAGAGCTGGGGGGCTGGAGCTTCCTGCAAAGGGCCTGACTTTGTGAAGCTCTTTCCATGGCTTCACACTGCCTCTGGGGGACAGTAAACAACAGTTTGGACTACAGCCTTCTCTGAGCAGAGGGCCAGGCTGGGCTTTGCACTTGCTGGTTGACCACAGAGGCACTAACGCACCCTTCCAACCCCATCTCTGCTTCCCTTGTCTGTGGCTTATCTTCGTATTTTCTTTTTTGGCTTATGTACAAGTCTGTGTTCCTTTGCTTCTGGTGGTGATTGTGAGAGCAGAGGATCTTGGTGGACCTGCCTACCTCCTCCTTCCCCAGGCCGGTCTGTTTGGGGATGGGGCCTCACCAATGGGGCCTTGATGTCTGGGGCATGATGACTACCCTGTTTTTCACTAGAAAGGTCTGAATGGGACCCTTCTCCCAGTTCTTTGTTAAAACTCCAGCAACTCCAGTTTGTTTCTCATTTTAATGTTTTATTAAATATTTAAATATATTTTAAATTCAATTAAAAAATTTTTTTAAGTAGGATCCACACCCAAGGTGGAGTCTGAAGTCACCACCCTGAGATCGAGTCACATGCTCCACCCAACTGAGCCAGCCAGGCTGGCTTCAATTCAATTTTTGAATTATAACAAGCATATGGTATAAAATAAAATATGAAATGTCGCCTTCCTCAATGACCTTCTTTCCTACCTTGGAGACAAATTCTTTTAACCACTTTCTTCATTTTGGGATTTTAAGCCAATGGTTGCCATTCACTTTCATTCTGATCCTCCCTAGACCTCAGAACTGAGCACGGCACGGCTGGTCTGGAGCCACCTCCACGAGATGAGTGGGAGAAACTCATCAGGCAATGGAGGGTGACAGGAAAAGAAGGATTTGGCATCAGATCTGTGTGACCTTGGGAGTTAGTAACCCATTTCCTTTATGAGACAGTGGTAACCATAGTGTCCAGTGACTGCAGTACTTTTTCTGGGCCCAGGGGTTAGGGTGGGCCAAAGAAGAGATCGAAGATGTAGGAACTGCAGAGTGAAAGAAAGGGAAATTAACCTCTATCTAGAGTCTACACCCATGTGCCCACATTCAAGTCTTGTGCATTTGGGCATCAAGGATGCTTTTGTGGGGCAATGGCTTCCAAAAGGTTCCTATTGGGTTTGGCAACCTGCCTCCAGTACCAAGGCAGGCACAAGGCCCATTGCCATGGCTACAGCCTGCCTCCTTGTGCATAGAAAGCCTCTAGCTTAACTAGGGGCTGCTGTCCAGGACAGGAGCTGCTCCAGTTGCCATGGCTGGGGGCATACTTCAGTCTGGACAGGAAGCAGCATGGTTCCTGGCTTTAAGTCCTCAGTAGTAACTATTAACATTTTTGTGAGTTTCTAGTTTTCCTAGTACTCTAATTTGTCCTGTTCCTCACAATCATGCTACAAATATCTTACCCATTCTGCACATTTGCAAACTGACACAGATCATGCTAATGATGTGGTAGGGCCAGGACTTGAGCCGAGATCTTGATTTCAAACCTTTTCATTCTTGCTTCTTAAGTACAAAAGAGGAATCAGGATGCACAGGTCAGGCCTCACTTGGCAGAATGGAAGCCCTGCCTCTCTCCCCAACCCCCACACTCGGGCATTTTAAGGGTCGGTGCTATGATTTCTTAACAGGGTACAACCTGGCAATGATCCAGACTCATATTCTAGGTCAGAATCAGAAAGGGCCATCTAGCACTGCCTCTCCCCTGCCAGGAGAGATCTGGACTATGGGGCAGTCAGCTCTGACCATTTTTGGTGATGGGCTGCTGCTAGTGGACCTTCTTGCACCATTACCAGGAAGAAGGGAAGAGCCAAGAGTGAGCGGCCCGAGTTACGTGCGCTGACAAGCACCTCCTCACTGCAAGAACTCTGGACTCTCAATCGCACAAGTACCCCTCCTAGAAAAGCATGTCACAACCTGGAGGTGGTCATCTTTTCCTGGCAGTGGGTCTGCTGCAAGATGGGAAAAAACCCTGAATTTCATTCCCCCAAAGCCAAGTCAGTTGGGAGAAAGCCACACAGCACAAGCCAACACAGCCTCAGACATGGATCAACTAGGCTTGTTTGCAGGAAGAGTCCTGCTGTCTCAGCAGGCGACCTCTCCAGGTGGTTCTCAGGAAACCCATAGGTACTACACAATAAGCAGACTGGAACAAGGAATGCCAGTCCATTGGGATGACTATGGGAAATCCGTGAAGTGTCAGGGCCAAACCAGCCATGGAAATCAGCCTGTGCAAAGGAGCTATTACCTTCCAATGGCACCGCTGCTTCCTAACTCCCTCTGGGACCATCTAGTTGTGAGGGCACCTGAGGTGGTAGGTTGCCACAGGAGAGAGTGGGAGGGATTTTCTTTCCGGTCTAAGTCGTCTGAAGGTGTTGGTCATGGTACTGTATGAAGGCATGGCTATTTTGCAGACCCTAAGGGTCCGCAGTGGTAAGGTGGCTGCCAGCAGTCACCTGAATGCTCTCCGTGGGCTTGGAAGGGCCTAGGAAGGCCTCTGGGGACAGGAGGGAATAGAGTTGGCCCCAGTTCTCCAAGGCAGGCCAGGAGCAGGAAGAGGGGATCAGACAAGTCTCTCTCTCCCCTTGGGGTCCCATGGGTTGGAAAGGGCTGGGGGGGGGGTCTCAGGCAGAGAGAGCTAGCTCTAATTTGTTTCGGAACCTCTGGTTAAGCCTATTCACAGGACTCCTTTTGGTCACTACTGTCTCAGTTCAGTTTCAAATTCAGGGTCAAAGGCGCTTCCTAGTAAAGAGAGGTGGCAGGCCTAAAAACAAGCCACCAGGAAATGAAGTCCAGGGGAGCTGTTCACAAGGGATCCAACACTGAGGGTCCTGGGCTTCCATCCTATTCTGCAAGGTGATTTCCTTAGATGGAGACCATCCATTCACAGGGGAGCAAGATGCTTTCACCTTGTTCCCAGTAAGTCCTCCTTCAACAGGACCAAGTGAAGTGCAGCTATGCTCTAGGAGCCGGAGAAGAGAAAGCAGGGTTAACTAAAGGTCACGGGCAGAGAGGTTTGCAGAAGGAAATCTCAGGGCAGGCACTGTGTATCCAAAGGGGTGCTCTGATTATTCAGATGAGGTCTTCCTGGAATGAAGGTGAACCCTCAGGTAACCACACCCAGCAGGACAGAAATCATGTAAACACATCCAGCTCACACTATTTACATTATCCCCCAGAAAGCTCTTTGAGTATACCGTTTTTCTTCACGACCACTTGGCACTATCCAAAATAATCCTATTTTTTTTTTAAGATTTATTTTATTTATTTGACAGAGAGAGACACAGCGAGAGAGGGAACACAAGCAGGGGGAGTGGGAGAGGGAGAAGCAGGCTTCCCGCTGAGCAGGGAGCCCAATGTGGGGCTCGATCCCAGGACCCCGGGATCACGACCCAAGCCAAAGGCAGGCACTTAATGACTGAGCCACCCAGACGCCCTCAAAATAATCCTATTTCTTATTAACTATTTATGGTCTTGTATCCCCCACCTGACAAGGATGTAAGTGGCCTGGAGTGCAGGGGCCTTGCCTACCTTATTCATAATTATGACTTCACTGCATGCAAGGTCCAATGCCTGGCACCTAAGAGGCCCTCAAATGTTTACTGGATGAATGGAACTCATAGAATGAACAGTCAGCGGGGCACCTGGGTGGCTCAGTCATTAAGCGTCTGCCTTCGGCTCAGGTCATGATCCCGGGGTCCTGGGGTCGAGCCCCGCATCGGGCTCCCTGCTCTGTGGGAAGCCTGCTTCT